GAGAGCTTGTACCTGAATAAAACTTGGTCTTAAAGGTGCCACTGGACTGTTTTGGACCAGGGCCCCGGGGGGGGGGCTCTGCAGTTTACTTGACTGCTTCTTGCTCTGACTGAGGGCTGCTGGGAGCAGGGAGTGGGGCTTGTTGCATGTGCCTGCCCCCTGGGCTCTTTACTGCTGGAGCGCCGCTCCTGTGCGCTCTTGCAGGAAATGACCCCTGCCTATACAAAGAGAAGAAGAAGAGGAGATTGCATTTATACCTCGCCCTTCACTCGGAGTCTCAGAGCAGTTTATTTATTTATTTATTTTATTGCATTTATACCCCGCTCTCCCCGCAGACGGGCTCAGGGTGGCTTTACAATCTCCTTCCCCACAACAGACACCCTGTGAGGTTGGTGGGGCTGAGAGAGCTCTCTTGAGAACTGCCCATGAGAGACCAGCTCTGACAGAACTATGGCTTGCCCAAGGTCATCCAGCAGCTGCGAGTGGAGGAGTGGGGGAATCAAACCCCGTTCTCCCAGATTAGAGTCCGCGCACTTAACCACGACACCAAACTAAGAAATCCCAAGTCCTTCTTTAACGGTATTGTGGGGCAGGAGGAAAGGGTCAAACTTCTTAACAAACTAATTCCAGGAAATGTGTCTATGTGTCAAGAAACAGTCTGAGTCCAGTGGCACCTAGAAGACCAACAAAGTTTTATGCAAGGTATAAGCTTTCGTGTGCAAGCACACTTGCACACGAAAGCTTATACCTTGCATAAAACTTTGTTGGTCTTCAAGGCGCCACTGGACTCAAATGTTATTCTGTTGCTTCAGACCAACACGGCTACCCACCTGGATCTAAGAAACAGTTTTGGAAGAGATGAGAAGAAATGAGAACTGTGGATCAGGATCTCAAGGTTTAGTCTCTCTCTCTTTTTCTGGGGAACAGATATGGGGTCGCTATCCTGGATGGGAGGCTGGCTGGTAAACCTCTCCCTCCACCTTTAAATGTGACAGACATGCCATCAAATCTACAAGTCCTAGATGGGCAGCTGTTACCGTTGCCACTCGCCCCAAGAGAGAGTTCAGGCTGCCCGTCTAGCCAGGGAAACCTGTAGGCAGAAGCAACACCCAAGCTAGTCCGGAAGTCTGCACGGGTAGTCCGGAAGTCTGCATGGGTAGTCCGGAAGCCTGCGCAGCCAGTCCGGAAGCCTGCGCAGCTAGTCCGGAAGCCTGCGCAGCCAGTCTGGAAGCCTGCGCAGCTTCCTGCCTGTGCATGGATACCCACTGGTGCTGGCCGGTCCCTACCGAGATGCGGCAGAAGGCCTTGAACTCCAGGTAACTGAGATGGTTGGCCAACTCGCCTGCGTCGAGGTGATCAAAAAGCAGCGACACCTTCCGCTTCTTGCCGCAGCCGGGGCTGCTTTGGTAGCTGTGCAGAGGGATGTGGTCAAGGCTGGAAGGACACAAGGGAGGAAGGGAAAGTTAGGGTGGGACTCGAGGCATGCTCAGAGGAACCCTTGCCCAGAAATGCAGAAGGGACAGAGGAGAGAGAAGCACGCTAAATACATTAGCATGGCGGGGGGCAATCTATTGCATTTCTGTTCTTCCTTTAACCTGTGCCGCTTTAATGAGTGCCGCTCTCCTGGTTCGCCCCATCCCAACATTCTGCAAAGATCTCCAGTCTCTGGCAACTCCCTTTCTTCCCCCGCCCCCGAGTCGCTCCATGACGGGGTTTGATTCCTGAGCCGGGAGACGACACTCACGACACTCACGTGCTGGAGGTGTCGAGCAGCTGGCAATGCCTCTCCTGGCCCTGTTTCTTCACCACCTCCCATATCTCGGCGATGGCCTCTTCCAAAGGCAGATCCACGCGGAAGGCCTCGGGGTAGTGGAGGAGCCAGTACCTGAAGCCGGAAAGGAGACAGGTCAGTTTGGGTCGCATGCAGGCCGGCCGCCTCCGCCCAGGTCGGGGAATAAGGATGCCAGCTCCCAGGTAGTTGTTGGAGAATTGGGAGATCAGGCAAGGGTTTGCGAGTCCAAGTTATGACACCAAACAGTGGCTGATTCCACACCCATCTGCTTCCCACAGTTTTTCCACAGAAGAAGAAGAAGAGGAAGAGATTGGATTTAGACCCCGCCCTTCACTACCCAAAGGAGTCTCAGAGCGACTAACAAACTCCAAGGTCATCCAGCCAGGTGCAAGTGGAGGAATGGGGAATCGAACTCGTTTCTCCCAGATTAGAGTCCGCGCATTTAGCCACCTTAACCTGTGAGGTAGGTGGGGCTGAGAGCTCTCTCGAGGACTGCTCTTGAGAGAACAGCTCCGAGAAAACTGTGACTGGCCCAAGGTCACCCTAGCAGCTGCATGTGAAGGAGTGAGGGAACCAAACCCGGTTTTCCCAGATTAGAGTCCGCGCTCCTAACCACGACAACAAACTGCCTAACTTTCGGTGATCCCCCGCTATCACAGCTTATCTCCAGGCGACAGAGGTCTGTTCCCCTGGAGAAAATGGCTGCTTTGGAAGGTGGACTCTATGGCATTCTGCCTCGCCGAAGTCCCTCCCCTCCCCAAAGCCCTCCCTCCTCAGGCTCCGCCCCCCAAATCTCCAGGTATCCCCCAACCCGGAGCTGGCAACCCTATTGGGCGGAGGACACAACCAGGATTGTGGGTGGTGGGCTGGGGAGAAGGGGCAAGCAGAGAGAACGCAGACCGGATGAAGTGGCAGATCCTGAGCTGGTGTTCTGGCCGCTTCTCCCGAGAGGCTTCCTGGTACGTAGCAGGTTGAGTTAAGGCTTCAGTCGCTCATGGCTTTGGCCTTTTTCCAGCTGGAATCCAGTTCCCCCTGGCATTCTTCTAGGAATTAACAATTTATAGCCAGTGTCCCCGGCCTTTCTGAGCCTGCAGGCATCTTTGAAATCCCGGCACGGCATGGTGGGCGCAGTTACAAAATGGCTGCCGCAGGAGAGGCAATCAGCCATACAATTAGGGTTGCCGTGTACTCCGTCCATGAATGTTAGCTGCACAATGTGTCTTTTGTAGGAGCGGCAAAAAGCATCCATGCAACTGTTAAGGAAGCTGTCCCCCTTTTTGGAAGACTTCATGCAAGGAGAAGTGGGCTTATCATTCTAGAAACTCCCGTTGGGGCTTAGCTTTTAAAACACTGATGCAAAATTGTCTGGTAGTTAGCAGTCTGTATGTACTGAATGTTATTGCTTGTTGAATGTAATGAATATTTATACCTGACTAGGATGAAATAATGATGCACTAGGCACTTTACTAAATGATGATCATAAATAGAACACATTAGTTTGTTAAAAGGTTTTTGCAGTGTATATTTGTTTGTTGCTAGATTCTCCTAAAACTGCAGCATGGGTTGCTTCAACCTCCAGGTGGTAGCAGGAGTTCTCCTGGGATTGCAAGCAGTGTTCCCTCTAAGCTGGGTTAATGTGGGCCAGCTCACAGTTTTTTAGCCTCTGGTGTGCACATTTTGGTCTTAGCTAAGGAAGGAGGGCTCCAGAGCAGACTAATTTATCCAGTAGCCAGATTACTCGTTCACAAATTTAATGCCAGTGGCTCACAAAGTAGAATTTTTTGCTCACAAGACTCCACAGCTTAGAGGGAGCATTAATTGCAACCAGTGTTCCCTCTATGCTGAGTTAATGTGGGCCAGCTCACAGTTTTTTTAGCCTTTGACTCACACATTTTCGCCTTAGCTCAAGAAAGAGGGCTTTTAAAAAATGGGCGGACCCTTGCAGCGTAGACGTGACTTAATTTTTTGACGACTCTGGGGCGGTTCAGTCACAGGTCAGCGCACGTCTGCAGGAAACTTTGCGCTCTGCCCTCTCGTTTTAAGAGGCAAATTCAGAGATGGCTGAGCTGCTCTCTGTCTCTGCAGTTTTGCACTCTGGCGGTGCTGAAATGCGGAGACTGACAGCGAGTCAAAGTATCCCACTCCTGCCACCAACTCCCTGGCCTTGACACTGGAAACTCTTTTGGATCCTGAGGAGGCGGTTCCGTGTTGTGGATGAAGGAGCAAGACGGGCACCCATGCAAAGGATATAAAGTCAACAGCCGGCGGGCCAATTCTGCCGATGGCACGACCCAGCTGTGGACTGTTAACGTCATGTTCACCATGAAATCACTGGTACACAGGTTGCCGTCCAAGTCTGGAAAAAGGAGGAGAAAGATTAAGCGGATTGATTTGTGCAGGGAGGTGGGGAGACGTGCCGGGCTGCAGGGAAGACAGGATTGTCAACATAGCCCTGAAACTGGGACAGATTAGAGCTCACAAATTTCCCTTAAGAGACAATAGCTCCATGTCACTAATGCGGTACCCAGTAGTTCTTGCTGAAAATGCTTTATGGCTCATTAGCGCCATTAAAGCGCATTGAAGTCTCTACTCTCTAGTTTTCTTGGTGGTGGCAAGTTTCCTCCTACTTCCCCCGCATTTCCAGAACTCGCTAAAACTGGGGATTCCAAAAACGTGGGGTATGAAGGAGAAAACTTCGGGTTTGTGCCTGGCGAGGAAAAACCTACTGCAGAAAATTTCACCTAACGCAAAGTTTTACATACGTCAATGCGGGGAATTTCACACAGCGGAAATGATCCAGGCCAGCAATACTATTGATTCACTTGACTCTGCCATAGGGAACATTCTGGTTAAAGGGACAAGGGGCTTACTGAGGCATTCCCTCTGTGGTTCACCTGGTTTTAAGGGGAAAGAAGGTAGAAAGCCATTTTCGAGTGGGCAGCTGGGACGTCCCCGGATTGACTTGCATCAGAAACACACTGAGTGAGATCACAACGGTCCCTTGAGTGTGCTTGAGCTAAGGGAAGGGACCCGATCCCTCAAACCCCACCCTCCCCCTTCAGTTACCAAAGGAGCAAAGGCATTTCTCGATCAAGTCATCGAGGGTGCAGGAGCGGTT